ATTATAAGTGAAAAGGTTATAAAAGGCTATTTGGCTCAATGAGGCAGCCCCTAATCCAAATTAATATTTTTTTAGCTACAGTTAATTAACATATTTTTATATTTATGTCTCTGCAGAGAGACATGCCATTTTTTGTTTCTTCTTCCAAACACTTTTCAATTAACTGCCATTCCTTCATTTCTCAGCAGATTGACTTGAAACTTGGTAGGGTTATACCTAGGTCCAATATACCCAGACACTTTTTTTATTAAGATCTTTGTAAGTATTTCATGGGATCAAAGGTAAAACAACCCAAAAAGATATATTTTGGGTTTCTGTGCAGTTAAATTTACTTCAATCAAGATGAAAATGGGAACAAATATAAATTTTCATGTGCCCAGCATACTGACATAGAAAAAAAACTGGATTTGCCCATTTTGAGTCTTTTTACGGAGATCAGAGCTCACAAAAGAGCACAATTCTGGAGTTTTTGGTCAATTACTCAGCTATATTTTGACCAACTTACATAGGAGCTGGTACAAAGATAATTTTCTACGTGTCCTACACACTGGCAAGCAAAAATGGTGGACTTGCTCAATTATAGTAATTACAAGATTGGGGGGGGGGGGGTTTCAAGATACCACAAAAAGCATAATTTTAGTGTTTCTTAACAATTACTCAGCCGTATTTCAACCATTTTACATGGGATATGGTATAAAGTTACTTTTTTACAGGTCCCAAAAAAGATATATGGAAAATTTTGGAATTTTTGTCTTTTGCTCAATTTTTCAACAAGGAAAGTGCAATTTTGGATTTTTGTGAACTATTCAAGTGTATGTGAACCAACTTACATGGCATTTGGTACAAAGATACCTTCTTGCAAGCAGTGGTATAGACAAATTTTGATTTTTCTGGTGTCAAATTGGCCATGTTAGGATTGTGTGGTGGTGATGTATTTTCAACAGGCAAGAAGCATGAATCTAAAACAGTCTTGATAAATATTTGGACTATTATGAAGAAATAAAATTAAGATGCAGCTACATTCAAAGGCTCCTAATTCGTATGTAATTTGCAACATAAGACAAACATAGTTTATAATTACTTGAGTTAAATAAGTTGATGTATATAACTATGATGTGTTAAACGGTTAGTGAAATGCATTTTTAATAACTACTAAGATATCTCTCTAAACACAATGACTTGCTGAGACAACTTCTGTGTTCTTGTTAATGCACTTTTTATACATAAATGCAGAACTCTGAATATTTGGAATGGAGAAAACTGCTATCATGGATGCAGACAAACATTGACTTCATTTTGCTCTTTTTACTCTATTCACAATCTTACAGTAATCTTTTGTTTGAATTTTGCTTAGATTCAACAATACAATGTCCATACTATTCCTTACGATCCTGTTTTACAAACTTTACCATGCAGCAATTTCAATTGGTTATTTCAAGGACTTTGTTGTGAGAAGAGCAAGGAAAGCATCATGTGCAAACAATTCAATGCAAAAAAAATGTTGATATATTACTAAAAGCAGTTAATAATAAATGAAAAATTTTAAATTCTGATATTATGTTTTTGCAAAAAATATAGAGGAACACCATTTGTTCCTCAGGAACGTGTAATGGTTCCATATTTTTATCAAGAGGTTGAGTCTCAGGAACAAAGAACTTCAACTACTGTGGCATACACTGAATTTACATATAGTCTAACATTATATTTTACTTTCTGTAAAGAAAAGGCCTAATTTTTTGCAACAAGATGAGGAACAAAATGGTAAGGTTCTCAAGAAAGCATGAATCAAACCCAATTAGAAATATTTCTGAAGCAGTTAAATATTACATAAATTTGTTAACATAAGAAATTTGCTTAAATAGCAAATATTGGCTTTTATAGCTCATAAATATTTTTAAAAATTATTTTTTAATCACTTTCTGAAAAAATATAAACTGAAATAGCAGCAGTTGGAAAAAACCAGCAGGTCCTACTGTTTAGCCAGTAACCACCAAAGGTCACTGGCATTTTATGCCATTCAACATTCCAAGCACAATATGAATACTGGTATCAATTGTAAACAATGATCAACATTATTTAAGAAAAAAACCACACTATGTGATTGACAATCAATAACCTTTCCTACGAACTCATTCAGTATCATTCTTATGCATCTTTTAGCTAGATTACCCAAGTTTAAAATAGCAAGTAAACAGTTCATTCAAGCAGTATTTACCATTATCATATATTTCTTTTCACTTCATTATTAAAATATATAATTACTATCAGAAAAATAATGGGAAAAAATTTGATATTACACAAAATAATTTTTTAATTCAAATCACAATGCTTCCTGGAAATTTGTGGCAAATGACTAGCTACTGTATATCTGATAAGGTTATATAACTCATTAATCACTTCTTTGGCTTTTTTTTTTGCACTTTTGCAATTAAATTTTAGAGTAACTGGCAAACATTTACCACTGGCCAAAAAAATTAGTTTTAAGCTCTGATAGTATAATCACATTGATAGTGAGCTTGTTACTTAGACCTCACAGATGGTGCTCATTCACAAATGGTAATCCAAGCAATATGACAGTTACATTTATTGGTTTTCCCCATTTCTTTCAATATGAATTTATTGACAATATTTTTACATATTTCATATACATTGCCTCAACTTATCTATGCAGTACATCTTTACTGTATTTGTTTGCAATTAATGCTTGGTAAGCTACATCTACAACATATATTTAAGCAGTGTCTGGACACTTCTACTAGGGCAGTGTGTATCACAGTATTTTTAATTCAATAAATATGATGGTCTCAGAATATATTAAAAATATCACTTATGAAGCGGTAAACATGCAATTTGGTATGATTTCTACTTATTAGGACTTATTAGAAATGTGAAATGGAAAAGAAATCCAAGAAATATTTTGTGCAATACAAGTAGCAAGCCCATTAGAGCAAGCTGTGTACATGTTGCATACCATTGTGACACAAGTCTCATTACAAGCTCCAAAACATACATCCCCTCCCCCCAATCTAATTCAGGGATGTGGAATTCATAATGCTCACTGCCCAGAACAAGATCTGTTTGAGGAAAAATTTTTACCATTACTTTGCTTGTTGAATAAATATGTTTTTTAACATAGTTCATTTTGTTGTTAGTAAAACACATTGAGTAGTTTTATAGACAGACAAGTCTGGCTATGCATACACGAGAGTTGAGAATCGGTTTCTCAAGTCATGATTGATCATCTGGTTTTAAAAACCAATCAATGATTGATTATTAATTAGTTTTATCTTATGTGTTTAATTTTTATAAGCCATCAATAATATAAGTACTCTTTATACCTACATCAGCATTACTGTGCAATTATTATGTTAATGTTCAACCATGTTATTTAAGTTAAAGGTAAAAAATATTAGTGGTTTTTGTTATGTATTTGGAACTAACCCAAAACAGTGTAATATATTTATCATAAACCAATTCAACACTCTAAATTTCTCAAATAGTCTAACTGTCTAGTGACTAGGACATACATATTATTCACTTTAAACTGATAAGAAAATTTAACAAACTTTTATTTATTTATAATTAAACTGAAATCGTGTAATATCACAAGCAATTTTCAATAATTAACTTAACTTTCTCGAGTCTGAATTGTCTAATTAACTACTGACAAGAACATACACATATTCACAAAATTATTAAACACTTTAAACTAATTGGAATACCAAACAAACTTATCTTCTAAAAATTTCTCTTTAAGTTAGCTAGAAGTCTAGAAAATACATCAACAATTGGTTTTACAGTTTACAGAAAAATCTGTTTATCTTTTTATCAAGATCAGCATCTGCCATTGTTGCTACACCGATAACTCTGTAAGATGCATTTTGATTGGTTCTCTTTTAAATAAGCAGCCAATCATAAAGCTTGTTCTATTACAGATGTTTGGCAGATTACTTTACTGGAAGTACAAAGAAAAACCCAAATGGCCTGAAAATATCAAAAGCATATTTGATAATATAGAATATATGATTGATCAGTTCATCAAGAGGAAAACTCATCAGTCATCAACCAAGTTGATTAATGGGTACACCATTAGCCTACACTAACAAAAATGGTGCCTGATGAAAACTCCAGTACTGGAGTTAAAAGCTTGCACTAAGTGTGTAGAAAATGTTGATAAATCTATTTTATTTAAAATATACTGTTGCATATCTGCTTGTTTGTTAATTTCCTGTAGAAATACTTTCAGAGAAACTTCAGTGATACAAGTCCTTTCTTAATTAAAACTAGTTTATTCTTTCTTGATACAACTTTGAAATACACAGAATTTCCACAGTCAGTTTAACTTAATTAATTTTACAAAAACACGCCATAATTCACACACTTTACTTACGGCTTGACTCGATTATCTCTATCTATATCCCATTCTGCTTTAATTGCCGGGCTTATATACTAGAAAAGAGGGTGCCTGGAACAGACTAGAGTTGCCAGGACAATTCTAGATCCTTTGAGAATCTCATGACGTGTTACCAGCGTCACATGACTTCCACTGTCGTAACAATACTTTCACTTCTTTTTAAGAATTTAAAAGTTAAGAGATGAAGAATTAAGAATTATACTTATTTGAAGGAATAAGATTGTTTTAGCACTGTTTTTCTAGTTATTTCCACACTAAACAACTTACTGTTTCATATCTACAACACCTTTTACATTTCTAAGGCAAAATCTTAAATACTTTGCATGGATGTGGCAGATTAGACTTATGTAAAATAACTGTTCTCAGCTCGAAATGTCATGGCTGGGCACATCGCTAACATACTAATATTAATATCATAATTAGTACATCAGTAATTGTGTATTTTGTTATTTGTGAATAATGTATATCATGCTATGAATGCTCTTATCCTTTATTTCCTTTCACACATAGACATACAATAATAAGCCATAACACAGATAAATGTAAAAATAGTCATGCACTTGGCCACAATCACTGTGACTGTCACCTTAGTTTGCTTGCCATGGAGGAGAGGCTTAGTAATGCAATAGCCAATTTTCTGCCTCATTTTGAATCTAGTAGAATTCCATACTAGTGGTCCTCTGGTTAGTCTAAAGTGAAATGAATTAGGCATGAGTATTACTTAAAACATACATCAGAAAACTCCTTACATAAAACACAGGCCTACTTGTAGAAAATTGTATTTGACAGATCACAATGGCAGACACACAACTAGGTCTGCAAAGTACTGTTTTCAAGGGGACACAAAAATGAAGGATTCCCACAATCACATGTTCTCAGAAAAACACTGAAAATGTTAAAAACCATAAAGCATACAAACAAATATATTTCAAGAGTTTAGGTGCAAAATGCTATATACTCAAATCCTGAGGTGCCAATGATGTTGTACTGATGGATATGCAAGCATATGGATATTAGCATTGCATCCAAATATAAAATAGATTCTGTAAAACTTTAAATAAAGGTATCAACTAATAAAATTGTCATAATCGCAAAATTGTGCATACAACATTTTGAATCTAAGTGCTTCTTTTATATATCAATACTCCAATTTTCACTGTAAAAAATCTATCAGCTCATAGCAGTAAGAAAACATATGTATTAAAAAAATAATCCATGTTTCACATTTCAGTTTTTTTTGTATCTTATGAATTAGACACTTTTAAAAACATTACTGTATTGCCACTTTACTGACTTTTAAAAAACACTCTACATCTGTGTAAATACCAGTGATACAGATAGCTAGTTTATCCATGTAAAACATGCATAATTTTTAAAGAGAGGTGTGTCATTTTGTATTTTACATACATCAATTACGGATGTGCTATCACTAATACGCTACCATAAGAATTTGAGTGCTTACTGGTTGCACACTGTGAAAATGGCTATTTTTCCACATAGACGCATCGTGCTTAAAAATAAAACAAACCACAACTAGGAGTGTATCAATACACTGAACTACTGATAAATTGCAATTATGAACATCCCAATAGCAATGAATCAATGGTAAACTTTAAAACTGAAAGCAATCACTGATAGTATCCTCAACCATCAATTATATTCCCCATTCCATTTGTTTTATTTAAGCCATTTCTTCATAATTTCCCCTTTGCATTAGACTGGTTATATGGTCTCTACTCACGTGTAAGCCTAAAAGCTCGCATGTCACATCCGCCATTAGCAGTGATGCTCACACAATGGACCAAGCCTGTATCGGAGAATAAACAATTACTGAAACTCCAAATTTACTATGTGCATCTTCACAAAAATTGTCAATCTTTTAGTAAAAATGAAAAGTATGTTGAAAACAAAAAAATCATTTTTTTTTTTAAATTGTGTGAAATGACAATATCATGACAGGGATAACTTTTAATCACTTTCATATTTTATTTACATAATCTCTAGAATCTCCTAAATGAACATCAAAAGTTTTTCAGCAACATTGTATATTTCATCTGTAAATTTCTTTACACAAACAACAAATCGTTGAGTCTTCTATTTTTCACAAAGATTTAGCAGATGGGGCTATTACTGATCTTACACATTTTTATGGAATCAATAAACTCACCCAAATTTCAAATGATGCTAGAAAAAAAACATTGAAACTGAAGAGATGCCTCTGCTTAAAAAAAAAAATTATGTGGAACAAATTGAATAGCACAGATTCAAAGACATACTGAAAGTCACATATAAAAATCCAAAACTGAACATTTATGTTTAAGGGTTATTAAACTGCATGGTGATCACTTTCCTAACATGACAAACAGCTTTATGCTTTTGTGTAACAAGCATTGATTGTAAAAGTCTTTTCTGTACAAAACAGGCTCAAGACAAAGTTCAAATACTCTATGAATACTGAAAAGATACTGTTTAATAAGAATTGTAACAATAAATCCGAAATTTCTTTGTATGATCCCAGTCCTGCAATTAAAATGTAGGACAGTGCTAAGAGCAAAAGAAAGATGAAGCTTTCACAACTATACAAACAGAGAAAAATTAATAAATGTATAAACCATGTGTCTGTTTTTTATAGTACTTTCTTGAGGCTAAATACACAATAAGATAATATTGAAACATTCAAACTCTTATAAATGATTCAATCATTACATAAACCAGCATACAGACACTAGTCTGTGATGCTGAATTACTGACCATCTTTGGCAAATACTAATAAGATGCAAAACTTTTGTTCCATGTCTGCAAAAAATAATTTAATGTAGACATTATGATAAATAAACATCATATGTTTAAATTTATAGAAATTATGAAAACAATCAGATTTTCAGAGCATTTTATCTCACTTCTCAACGTACGAATCCAAGAATTTTTCAAAAGTAAAAATCCTAAAAGTTATGTTTTATTTTTTTGTGTGTGTTTGATGGGATGGAGACAAGTAGATTTTTATTGCACTTTGTTTCTTGGACAAATATTTTTTTGCAAAAATTCCACACTCCTGTCATTATTGTTTAATTAAAATTAAGAGCGGCAATACAATAAGCGTACTGCATCATCTACTTTTGATGATTTCAATGAATCTTGGGACCATTTTTCTTTATAGTGAAACATGAAGATTTTTCGCATTCCTGTATAACTGACTGTGAAGTTGCACTACTTGGATGAAATACAGTCACACAAACTGCCAGAAAAAAAAAAATTCACTTGCTCTAGATTTACTTGGACAGCTCAAATTATACCCATAGCTTCATTTATATTTTATTTTTTGAGGAGCAGAATGTATACCAAATTCCTCAGTTTTAACCTGATAACTATCTACTGTTATTTTTTGTTCAATAATTACACAAATATATAGGGAAAGGGTAGATAATTAACTTTTAAGAAAAACTACTTATAAATTAAAATAAACTGTTCTTCAGTAAATACCTTTTCAACCAACAATTTTGTACTATCAAACATGGTAATGATGGTTTATGCATTCACCAATCTACCTGAATATTATTAATATAATACCAGTAGATGATAACAAAACAAAATGTAAAATAATCATATTGGCATGTTTTCACTCTAAAGACTATTGAAATGATAAAATTTATATCTGAATTATAGTGGACCATCACATCAAGACAGAAATCTTAAAATTATTTTCCCACAAAAATATGCATGACATGCATGATGATATCCTGTGATTCATTTAAAACTTTTGATAAAAGTGTGAACAACACAAAAAATAAAAACAACCTATTATTATCACTAACAAGCAAAAACTATGTATTGTTTACAGAAAAGTCAACCCATTCCAACCTCAAACATTCAAACTGTTAAACAACCATTATAAGCAAGTGCCCATGTTGAGACCAGATGTTGAGTAACTGTTATGTCCATTACCTGAGAAAGGCCAACTTTCAAAAACTAGTTTTATTTAAAAAACTACTTGGATAAAAGCCTTTAAAATGTTACATTACGGGTAATGCTTGGAATTTTCTAAACAAATCTTTTAAATTTGCTTAGAAAATTTGTAATTTAATGTAGTTTCAAGAATATAAAACCATTAATAAAATGGAAGATGTGGTAGAAAGTAGAATAGCAAAATAATAAAAACATAAAAAAAAGCTAGAAACTTTTGAACTACACCTAACTTCAAAAAACTTTTAGTTCATAACATAAATATGGATATAAAAGATTATGTTTATGTTATCAGCATACTGAGAACAGACAGAAGACTCAAGGGTGAAATAACTTTTTTTGCTAATAAATTTTTATAAAAGATGATTATATATTAACTTTTTTTGTATGATCACTAGTGGAATTTGCTAATAGACTAAACATCAGGCTCATTAAAAATTACATTAAATTAATTAAAGAAACAACCTAAAATATAAAAAAAGAGGTTTTGATAACCACAACGTGCAGGGCACAGATGGTGCATCATGTAGCTTTGTTCCTAACAATACACAAACATAATGGCAATATTTTGATTACTCAGATAGTTAGAATAATTAGAAACCCTAATTTCAATTAGTTGATTATTAATATGGGTTGTGACTACCTTGTAACTGTAAAATAATATATAATTCAATGTACTAAATATATTTTTATGATATTTGGCAAGGTTTTATCAAACGTTACAAGTTTGTTGTCTACAAAAGTCACATTTTTAAATAAAAAGTATTTTTACTAAACACTTATCTCAGTAAAATAATTAATGTAGCTTTCAAATACGTATTTTAGAACATAAAAAACATATCAATCAATAGAACAGTGGTTTTCACACTCATACTTCAAGTACGTCAAAGTGTGAGTATGACCATTTACAGAGTTACATTCAAAAGTTAATCAAATTTCTTGACTATCAATGTATGTGAATAAACTTGGCATCAAAACACAGTTGATAAATCAGATTTTAATATTATATATGTTTTGAAGAAATATTTTAAACAAATCCTCAACCTTCCCTGGTCTGAGAATTCTGACATTTGTTTTCTAGGTCTTCTCCCTAGAAAAGTACAGAATTTAATGTAAATTACTTGTTATAATATATATATATATATTATTAAGACAAACTATAATTTTTATAGCCTTCAATATTTTTTGTTTATAGTCATAGTAGACTAAAAAAATCAGACCCACTTGCCACATCCTCTCTTTCACAAATTGCAAACAACTCTTTCTGAGCTTATATACTATATTATTTATAACCAATAGAAACCAAAGATTTAATCCAGCAAATGATGTATTATACTACATTGTTTTCCATACATCTTTAGTTTTAAAGTTTCTCTCATAGTGTTCAAATCAAGAAGATTTCAGAATTAATTTAAGGCTCTTATGCCATAGTTAGAAAGGCAGTTCAATTATGATAGTTACAGGACATTCTTTGCTTTGTGATTGTTATCATTTTGTTCTTTATTTAAGTAAATAAAAATTATTTAGTGTACTAGTATCATTAGTGTAAAAAAATAGGCTTAAATTTCATCACATTGACCAAACCCCGTAGGGAAAGAGTGAAATATATTTTAAAAACCCTATTATGTATTTGAAGTAGCACCACAATGTTAATGGGTTGAGAAAGATCTAATGAGTGAATAGTCTACATAGGGAAACTGAGACAATAAGAGATGGATTCACATTGAAAAACTTTTTTTTTATTGGTTATAAACATGTCCATCAGCCATATAAAATTGATTAGAAAGCAATCTCGAAATTCTGAGACAGAAAAGGTGCTTTTCTGATGGGTTTGGCAAACTTACTGATATCTCAGCAAATCAGGAAAGGAAGAGATTCAAACTTTATTTTCCACCTTGTAATAATGTAACTGGTTGGAAACTAGAGGCCTATTATTAAAATTATTAATTTCTTCAGTTGAGAAATCAGAGCTCAGGTGCATCACATAGCAAAGAAAAATTAAGGTTGAGAATTTTGTAGATATTTCTTTTGAAAGTAAAAATCAAAAACTTACATAATATAAAAATTTGAAATATAAACTATATTTTCATGCTAAGTTTATTAATATATATTGTTAATAAAGTTGTTTAATTTCATTTTAAATGAACACTGTATAAGGTTGTGATAAGCTTAAAATAGCCAGGTCTGTATGCTTAAAGTTAAGCTCAATAAACTAGAATTAATTGAAAATAATAAAAAATTATAATGGCAATATTTTAATTTTTGGACAGTTGTAATAATTGGAAGCATTCATTTTGATGAATTGAGTATTTTCCTGCCACTAACAGATTTAATCATAATTTTGATTAGCAAACAGTTGTAATATCTGAAACATTAAGTTCAATTAGTTGACTATTTTCTGGACAATCAATTTAATTGCTATTTTTGATTACTGAATATTTATAAGTATAAAAAGCAGTAATAATCAGGAACACTAATTTTGATCAATCAGTTATTTTACATGTCATAGCACAATGTAGTCAATGCTCATAGGTAATCAAATATTTTAATTGAGTTAATCTTCCAGCTCCACTAATCAGTTAATCTAAGTCACTCGCTTTTTCCCTTAAGATCCTCATTACAGCTAAAAATACCCAAAGATTTAATGTAAACAGTAAATTAATTAACTTACTATTTATGCCCCCCTATCAATATCATTATTATATGTAACACAAAGCAAAGGTTCAAGTGCTGATCTCCGAGACACTCCATTAGTAATAAGATCCAGGTTGAGTGGACTCCATTTTACTTCTCTCATCCAACCATCTTACAACTCAATTAGCTGGTCTTTCATCAACCCCAACTGATGTGCTTTTATTTTAGCAAGTCTATTGTGTGCCACCTTATCAAAACCTTTTCACAAATCTAAGTTCATGAAGCCCTCATCCTTTCCATCACAAAAATAACAAACAGACGTATAAAACAAAGTTTCCATATGGTGAACCAATGTTGGTTTTCTTTTATAACATGTTTCATTAAATGGTTTTCTAAAGCTTATTTTATCAGACACACTAAAATTTTTCCAACCATCAAAGACTAATTGGCCTATAGTTTCTGGGACAACTCTTCTCACTCTCTTTAGATTAACACTAGCAGCTAATATTATTTATTTGCTGAATTGATACATTATTGAGATGGACTAAATTTCATTTTAATTGTTGTTCTGGATGGTTCCACTGAAAAATGGAATAAGAATGGTGGGCCAAATGATCTTATTGAAGTTTACATGATTATTTAAGGAATAAATAGAATAAAGGCCCCTAATTTTTTGTTCTATATTTTGAAGATAATAGGATGAGAAGACACAAGTTTAAGATGTGGAAAAAGACAGGCTAGGTCCCAGTTAATAGTTTTTATTTTTCTAACAAGGTGATCATTTTATAGAATGAGTTGTCACTGGCAGTACTTTACAGACGCTTATGAAAAAAATCAATGATTGGATGATGTCATGAAAAATAAGAAGTGGGTTTAAATTTTCTCAATGGTAGATGTGCAAGAACAGCCTCAAAGGACAAAATGGTCTTTTGTTGTCATTATGTTTTATATAACTTTGCTTTCTCTTACAATCTTAAATTAATGGACTGGTAATTCTTTTGAAAGCTAGTTCAATATTAGTGTCAAAATAAGAAGGAATTCAGTGAAAAAAATAACTTCCTAATGTATTTTTTGTTTCTGTATTGTTTTTTTTTTATTGTATGACCCATACTAGCACACACTTGAGATAAGAAAAATTGGGTTTATATTTGTAGATGTTTTCAAAACTTTTATATGTACATTTTTGATTGAATTACATTAATAAATACAAATTGCTTTTTTTTTTTTACTTGAAACATTTATTTTATAGTATAATAAAAGTTGCCTATTTCACCACTAACAGGGTTTACTTAATTTCTTCATCAATTCCATTAATTGTCTACTTACATGCACAGACTTAATCGGATTTTATATACTTACTAAATAAAAAAAAAAAACTTAAAATATTGATTCTGAAATAGGTTAATAAGAATAAATTAGTTTACCATGTTTCAAGTATGAGGTTTTTATTATTCACCAAATACTGTATATACAGTCATAATATGGCAGTATTCCAAGAATACCAAAAAAGATTTTAATTCAAAATATTATTGCTGTCAGTATCATTACAATGATCAGAATTGAGAAACTTGACAAGACCTATTACAATACTAATATATTTTTGGCCACTGATAAAAATGTGCCAGTTACCCTAAAAGTCACCTGTTGGTTCATCAAGTCTGTCCCATTCAGTAAACTTTAAATTTACTGCATCCACAAATTCTGAAGGCATCCTATTCCAAAGGTCAACCACCCTGTTAGAAAAATAAAACTGCCTTAGCTGAAGATTACTCCTACCTTGCCAATTTTTTTTTCCTCTTGCCTTGCCATCTTCACCATTAAGTACGAAAAAAATCTATCAATTCCATTAATCTTGAAAACCTCAATCATACTAAATTCCCCTTAATTCTTCTTTTTAAAGATAAAAATTCAAAGACCTTAACTTGTCTTCATATGAGAACCTTTCCATCCCATATATCATACTGGTAGTTCTCCTCTGAAAACTTTTCAACAATTCAATGTCCTTCTTAAAGTAAAGATCCCAGGAGTGAACATAATAAATATCCCAAATGAGGCCTATGTTACCTATACATAGAAATTATAGCCTTTTTAGGCTTAAATTCAATACTTCTGTTAATACAAACTAAAATCATACTTGCCCTCACACTAATAAAAGCATACTGCCTGAATACCTAAATGTCTAATCAACCAAAATACAAATTTCCTTGTCTTACATAACACTATTAATGGTTATTTCTAACAGAATTATAATATATATTATAATATAACCCACATGTATTATTCTAGTTAAAAGCCATCTATGGTTTATTTGCCCAACTCACCAAATAATATAAATCTTTTTGTAAAACAGTAACATCCTCATCACAAACATTCTGTAATAGCAGCACCCAAGACTTAAAATCAGCAAATTGACCACTCATTTATATATATATATATATATATATGTCATTCAGGCAAATCAAAAAGGAGAAAAATCCTAACACTGAACCCTGGTCATCCTACTTGTGACATTAATCTAGTTTGGCTATATTCCACTTATGAAACCCTCTGATTTCTTCCAACCAGCCATTTTTCAATCTGAGCCAACTTATCCCCCACAATTACAGAACTTTATTTTTTACAAGCCTTTTGTGTGGCTCCTCATCAAATGCTTTCTGAAAATCCAAATACACACCCTTTCCCTCATCTAGTTAAGAAATAGCTTCTCCAAAATTTTTCAAAGATTAGTTAGCCAAGATTTTCTCCTAGTGAAACTATACTGGCTATCCAACTCGTAAACATATTTTATTAAACTTTCCCCATTACTGATGCAAGAGTAAGTTAAATTACCAATTAGGATGAAATATAAACAATATCTTCTTATACAAAAACAATGACTCTAATTTGAGTAGTTACAACTTAGGTGGGTTAAGTTCAAAAGCATTAGGGTTAGCAACTTCAAATAGATGAATGCCGTTTAGGCCTAGTGGCAAAATAGCACATTAGTTATTATGTGTAACTTGTAAGAATAAATTTCACACTCACCGGTTAGGCTATTATCGTAAACAGCTAACGCAAATACCAATCACAATGTCACACAGCGAATAGTCACCAGTTTAGTTATAATACTTATATTGTACCTCTCTACGATAAAAGTTACACTAACCTAATCTTCCTTTAGTTTCAAGTTCAACTTTTTATTGTGACTGTATATATGATCTACAATTTCAAATACAAGCCAGACAGGCAATGCATTATAATTTCCATTAAAGATACAATTCCATTCTGAATTTTAGCTTTGTCTGTCCATTAATTTACTTTTACACATCTTACCCTTAACCCTAATAAAGTAACAGAATATGGCGGGCAAATGTTACACAATGAACAGAGCAATGGCTTAACATAAAGTATAGCCTATAGGGCCTACAATTAACCCTACGGTACGTACGCCGTACACGGCTACGATATTCTTTACTAATTCCTCATAAAACAGAAATGCCTATAAAAGAAATAAGTGTACTGGTCAAAAATGGCACTTTTTCTCCAACAATAATTGAAATTTAAACTAACCTTACAATAATTTTTCGAAAATCTACTGTAATTAACATTAACATGGTCATTATCAGTGCCAAAATAATGCTTCAAAATTAGTGTTTTAAGCTTTGTTTTACAAGTAAATAATATGAAAAACATATTAAAACAGTAATACAGATTGACTACGATAGCCTTTGATGTTTCAAAAACTTAATTTTTAGAATACGAAATTACTAAGTTCCCTTACCATGAAATGTTATATCTACAATATATTTTCACAGAAAAACAGTCAATTTGTATATATCATTAAAAATACATGATCGTCTTTAAAGTTATTAATAATATATATGTAAATACCTGATATTTTACCACAGCGAAAGTGTTATTATATACAAGTTTGTATGTTTATAAAAGGTGTTGATTTAGGTAAAATACTGAATAATCTCAGGTTTTCGTTTCGCAGTACTTTTGAAGCTAGTAGTAAATGCTCAACTTCAAATTTACTTGCTACGTGAAATAATTAAACTTTGGTAGATTAAACTTTATTATTGTAGTATTCAAGTATGCGTTCTCCTCTTCTTTCTTGTTTATTACTGTTAAAATTTAAAAAATTGTAGTACACTAGGAACTACAATATCCACGTTTAATGTTACAACCTTGTCAAATTAATATTCAGTGTACTAACTATCACATCTATTACATTCTAAAATCTGCTGATATAGTTTATTTATTTACGAAGTTAATATATCCTTAAACAACAGAAGACATACATATATTTTTAATGTTTCAGATATCATTTTCAAATAGTTATAATGTTATTATATTGTTACGTCTCCGTTTGTTAATTGATTTTTCCGTAACTTTGTTCCGACGAAATTTTAACGACACAAGTCTTTCTTAATAAAAACTGGTTTATTCTTTCCGAATATAACTTTACCGATACACTCAACTTCAACAATCGCGCTAAACAAACGCTGTAACGTTTCTCGTGCTCTCTGACTGCAGTTCAATTACTCACTGTCTACCCACACATTACATTCCCCTCTTTTATATACCAGCCTACCCTATATCTAGTAATTACTAGAGCATTCGCCAAATTACAGGATAGTTCTAGAAACGTGGCGTCACGGTGGTCATGTGACTCGCTGACGCAACAATATTTTGCTCTGGGCTCTTTTCGAGCTCAGGGTCAAATTGTTTCAAATCAAAATACCTGCCAAAGTAACCAAATAAATAACAAGCACCTTCGTTAAATGGAATGTTGTCCAGTGGAATATCAGTTAACTGTTTTATGACTATCCCCTAGCTTATATCAACTAATAATGAAGTTTATCTCCGCTACATCATGGACAAAACGGGAAACCGAAACCAACGCCCTGTACATCAAAGTGTTCCAAAAAGCTATACACTTGACTTTACATATCACTAAAATCAAATATATTGGTCCAGTTAAATTTGGTATGTTAACAGATGAAAAAAACAACAATAAAAACGACTAAGAGTATGGTGGTCCAGTGATTAGTGCGTCGTATTTGTAGTCGAAATATTTTGATTTCGAGGCTTACTTACAACAAGTTGTTGTGTCTTTAAGCATGACGCTTACCCATATTGTTTCACACTAACGATCTATATAATAAATATCAGAGGATAACTGAGGGTTAACCTGCAAATAATTGGTATTCCGTCCACGAGAAATATGTCAGCATTCTCATCTGTGTATACTATTGTAATCGTAGTTCAACACCAGCTCTATAGAATAGATTTAACTTTGAAATAGTTATTGTTTTTAGGATCAAAACCTTCATTTGACTGAGCAATATTAATATATAGCATAATAATATTACTAACTTTCCATTCTCAACAATGGGCATTGTAGGCTCAATTTATCAAGGGAATGAACTGCTCCAACAACTTCAAGACCATGCTTACAATATATTCATCAACTGTTGAGACTTTTCATAGTTATAATATTGCTGTAGCCTAACCCAGGCATTATTTGAGGATTTTGAGCACTAATACTAGTAACTTGTAAACTGGAATTTGTGGTTGTCTTTAAGACTTTTAACTGTTCACAATGCGAAAACATTTTCAACAATTATAAGTGATATGACCATAGTATTGTTACGACAGCGGAAGTCACGTGACTCTAGTACACGTCATGAGATTCTAGAAGGATCGTGTCTGTTCGTGGCACCTCTAGTCTTTTCTAATAATGGCTGGAGACGGCTTGAATGGGTAATGAAGAAAAACTTTAATATAAGTTTAACATAACAGCAAATGTACAACGTTTCGACAAGGTTTTGTCATCATCAGGTACAAGTAATTTACACTGACACGGATATATATATACAGTATTGAACAAAAAAGTCACATGACCGGAACTGTTGTGAAACTTAGAAGAGGTATCTAGGCACCCCGGGGTGTTGGTTTAGAGTAGGGTTGTTTTGTTCAATTAAGATGGATTCCTTGATTTGTCGTTTGTTTATGTGGGGTTCTTTGTTTAAAATGACTGTGTTTTTAATAGATATACTATGATTTTTTGAGTGGCAATGGTGAAAACATGGGACGGTTTTTTATTGTGTTCTGTCAATCTGGTTTCCAATTTTCTT